GGTCCGTGCTGAAGCCCAGCACCCTGCCCGACATCCAGGTGACTGATGCAGAGGCCGCGCCCAACACGGAGGCTCCCGGGAATGGCACAGGTGAGCCGGCCTTGGATCCGCCCGGATTTGTCCGGGAGGTTGGGAGCAGCTGCAGTTTAACCCGGGAAAATACAAACCGGGCTTGTTTTTAACTCCAGGCTCAGTTTCCCGTCCTGCCCCGGGTCCCTTTAAGCCACTTCCAAAGAACTTTTATTTACTTTGTTCGATCTTTTAGCCCCCAAAACGGCCCAAAACTCGACGGTTCCAAGGTCTTTTCCCAACCTAAATGATTCCGTGATTCCCCGGGGGTTTGTGCTCAGTGGGACGTGGTGGAGAGGAGCTTGGAGAGAAACAGGGAGGGGACGGAGCAAAGAGCCTCGTGGGATGGCAGGGAAAAGGATGTCGGCGCTTCCCCTTCCCGGAGGCTCCGCTTTTGGGGCAGAAGAAAGGGAGCTCTGGGAAGCGCCGTTACCATGGGAAGTCAACAGAGCTGCAAAGTGTTTGTCCCCTCCCTGGTTTTTCCTCTGTGGAGGGGGAAGAGCTCGGTCAGCGCTTCATTAACCCCTTGTTCCGAGCGGGGCCAGCGAGGAACGGGACACGGGGTGGAATTCCCACAGGGAAAAACCTGCTCCAGTTCGTTTTCCTCGCTCAGTCAGGGCGTTCTGACGTGCTGGCTTTTGGGGGGTGATTTTTGGCAGGTGGCAGAGAAGAACCAGCTCCTCCTTTTGACTTTGGGATGCTCCTCCACATCCCAGCTCGGGGAGGAGCTGAGCCCTTGCACAACTCGCCGATCCGTGAACCCCCATCCCTGACCCTCCAGCTTTTTCCCTTTTTCTTTTTGATCTTCCCACTCCTGACACTTTTCCTCCCTTAATCAAAGCTTTCCTGGGTGATCCTCACCCCACATCACCCCGCTGCAACTGCCCAGCAGCTCTCTCAGCCTTATGACCTTAATCTGCCAGCACATAAAAAAGCCTTTTTATTACATTTTTCCCTAAAATCCAGTAGAACTCAGCTCCCAGTGTGCGTTCCTGGCTCCTCAGGAGTGCTTAGTCACCGTGTGTGCATCTGGAGCTGCGTGTCCCGGAGCTTTTTCCCTGCTGCAGACATGCTTTGAATTCAAACACCCAAAGCTGGAGCCCGAGAGGTTCATTAAAAATGGATGAAGAGCTGGTTTATAATAATCTGGATCCAGGCCAGTTTTCACGCAGAGATCTGAGGCACTGCCCCAGTTTGCCTGTTCTCATTAAAGGGAGGGAGAAAAGAGAAAGTTAAATTATGGAAAAGGCAGGGAAGATGCTCGAGCTCCCGGGAGAAGAGGTTTTAGCCAGGTAACAGCACGGATTTAGGCAGTTAATTGTGAATTAATCACCTCCTTCGGGAGCTGGAGGAGAATAAACCATTTGGTCTGCTTTAATTTGGGGGGTTAAATGTGTTCTGGGAAGTTTGCTGGGCTGGGATCCTGGGCTGGGGATTTCTGCATCCATGGGGGAACTCCCTGTTGATTCCCAAATCCTAAGATTCAGGACTCACCTTCAGGAGCTGGGGGAGAATAAACAGGCTGCTGTGGTTTAAATTGGTGGGTTAAAAGTGTCCTGGGAAGTTTGTAGGGCTGGGTTCCTGGGATGGGGATTTCTGCATCCATGGGGAGACTCCCAACAGCAGGAAGATTCAGGAATCACAGAATATCCTGAGTTGGGAGGGACCCAACATCACTGATCTAACTCCAGGAAGTCCATGGGGGGACTGGCTTCCCAGCAGCAGGAAGATTCAGGAATCCATCACCTCCTTCAGGAGCTGGGGGAGAATAAACCAGTTGCTGTGGTTTAAACTGGGGGGGGTTCAGTGTGTTCTAGGATGTTTGTGGGGTTGGGTTCCTGGGAGGTTTGTAGGGCTGGGTTCCTGGCATGGGGATTTCTGCGTCCACGGGGAGACTCAGGAAGAGTCTGGAATCGCAGAATATCCTCAGTGGGAAGGGCCCCTCAGGGATCATGGATCCCGCTGCTGACCCTGCACAGACACCCGGCATTTCCCCCCCGTGCGCCGGGCGGTGTCCGAAGGCTCCGGGAGCCGCCGAGCAGCCCCCGGGGGGTTCTCATGCCGCTGTCCCGGGATGTTTCTCAGCCCCCAGGCCGGCGGAGGATGCCCCGCAGCTGATGCGGACGCGGAGCGATGTGGGCGTGCGGCCCCGGGGCAGCTCCCGCACGGCCGGCGAGCAGCGGCGCATCCGCCGGCACCGCTTCTCCATCAACGGCCACTTCTACAACCACAAGGTGAGCCCAGCCCCGCAGCCCGGCACGGCGACACCCGGGGGGGCTCCAGGGAGGGGCTCTCACCGGGATTTGTGCCCCGCAGACCTCCGTGTTCACGCCCGCCTACGGCTCCGTCACCAACGTGCGCATCAACAGCACCATGACCACCCCCCAGGTCCTCAAACTGCTGCTCAACAAATTCAAGGTGCGCCAATTGCCCCCCACCCCAAGGCTCCTGGGCTGCTCTACGTGGGGATTTTATGGATATAAAATATGTAGTTTTAAAATGTTTTCATTTTATTAATTATGTATAATATATTATATATTACATGCTATATAATATAAAGCATTATATAACATTATATTAATTATAATAATTTAAATATATTTATATATTAATATATTTATAACGATATGCATTTGTAAATATATATATGAATTAAGATACTATTAACAATCGATGTATTAATTATTAATATATTAAATTAGGTTAAAGGGATAAATTATTAACATATTGATATGTTAAATTACATGTTAATATATTGGTAATTAATATATTAATAAATAGAATAGAATAAATATATTATATTTAAAATATTTTATATTAATTATATAGTGTATTATACAGACTATATGTAGTCTTTTATGCTATATATTATATTATGGTATGTTATATTATATTATATTATGTATAGTATATATATAGTGTGTATATATACACACTATATATACATATATAGTATTTATTTATTTATATATATATTATATATATATATAATATATATTATATATATAATATATATTATATATATTATAGTATATATAGTGTATATATAATATACAAACTATATAGAGATAATATAGATAGTATAGTATAGATACACTATATATAACATTTATTGTATAATATATATATGTAAATTAGTATATATTATATATTAGTGTATATAACACATACTATATATCATTATATTAATTTTAATAATTATATACGTGTATCTATCTGTGTATATATATAAATGTCTCTCATGTATGCCATTATGTGCAATATCACATTAAAATACTGCATTTATTTATTTCCCACTATAATTAATTCACTGCATTAATGCATAAATATTTTGATATATTCCAACACTTACATATAACCATGTATTTATATATAGCCTGATTTATCCATAAAATGCAACAGCACAGCAAAATAGCGGGGCTTGTTTATAATTCCCTGGAAAGCCCCGGGGGTAGAACCTGGAGGTTTGACGGTGATTTCTGTGTGTCCCCAGATCGAGAACTCGGCGGAGGGGTTTGCTCTGTACATCGTCCACACCAGCGGAGGTGAGTGGCACAAATTCTCCCTGGGGCCACCCTGGCTCAGGTGGGCACTGCCCCTCGAGTGTCCCAGACACTGTCCCCCATGTCCCAGGCAGTGCCCCCCGTGTCCCAGGCAGTGCCCCCCGTGTCCCAGGCACTGTCCCCCGTGTCCCAGGCACTGTCCCCCGTGTCCCAGGCAGTGTTCCCCCGTGTCCCAGGCCTGACTCCGTGTTCTTGGCCTTGCAGAGAAGCAGAAGCTGCGGGGCAGCGATTACCCCCTGATCGCCCGGGTGCTGCAGGGCCCCTGCGAGCAGGTCTCCAAGGTTTTCCTCATGGAGAAGGACCAGGTGGAGGAGGTCACCTATGACGTGAGTAGAGCCGGCACGAGGTGTGTGTGTGGGGGGGTCATCACTCCTGGGGGGGTCACAGACTCGTGGAATGGTTGGGGTTGGAAGGGACCTCAATGCCCATCACAGTGCCACCCCCTGCCATGGGCAGGGACACCTCCCACTAGCCCAGGTTGACCTTGGACACTTCCAGGGATCCAGGGGCAGCCACATCTTCCCTGGGAATTCCATCCCAGCCTGTGACCACCCTCCTAGGGAAGAATTTCTTCCCAATGAACAGATGTCTCCGTGTGCTGGGAGTGCAGGAGTTGCTTTGTTCCTGCATCTTGCAGCTTCCAACTCCAACCCAGAGCCAACGCCCCCGGCCCTATTGTCCCAATCCCAAATCTGCTTCAGGGGAGAGCGATTTCAGCGCAGCCTGTGGCGGAATTGATGTTTCTCCAGCCGGGAAAGCTCCACTGTGCCATCTGCCGGCTTCCCAGGGCTGCCCTGCTGGGAAATCCGAGCTCAAACGAGGCACTTCTGGGAAATATTTGGGCTTAAATCTGCTCCCTGAGATGCTGGGGATGCTCAGGGCTCTGAATGATGGAGCCACGACTTGCAACCAGTGGGTAAATTAGAACAAATAATAATAATAAAACAATTAATTAA